CCATATCATCTACTTTTTTAAAAAATTGATATAATAGTAAAGCTTTTCATTATTTTATTTGTAACAATATTATTTATTATTTTATTCCTACACTTACAAATATTTTTACATTTTATTATTGGAAAACATATATTTTTCGTTTGTTATATCCGACAAATTCATATAAATCTAAAAAAAATAGTTGATTTATTGCATACTCTATAATTTACACAAATAATAAAAATCAAATTTTACACTTCAAATAAATTGAAATAAATAACATTTTTATTAGTTCTAATATTTTTATACAAAGTTGATCAAAGCATATGACATCAAAATATGTTTGATCAAAATTGAATTTTATTACATTTATGCAAAATATATATCATTTTGTACGTTTATAAATATTAGAATACACGTCTAAATATTAAAATCGATTAGAATACATATTTAAGTATTTAATCCCACGCTTAGCGTGGGTCAAAATCTAGTCTTTTAAGTTAATTGTCTTGATGTTCATCTTCATAGTAGGTGAATGGTAAGGGTACTGATTTGAACGCCCTGAACCTCCCAACATTGTTCAAATGCTCATTCTCCAACCTAATCAATAAATATTAACAAAGCTGACTATGTATTGATCCATGACAACAACATATACATGTCAGTCTCGGAGCTTATACCTGAAGAAGTTCCAGATACCTCGGCGTACGATCTCAAGGCAAGCCATAAGCGCGACCATAGTTTCTCTATGTAAGAAAGAGAATTTCAAATCCAGAAGTGTCTGCAACCACACTAACCTCAACACAACATTCAAGACCTGCCAAAAATATGAAACTACACATAAACCATAATGTAAAGAAAAAAAAAACAGAGTTTGATATTTTTTTTGATTGCTCACCATTGCAGCGTGGTACACGGTTTTGTGAGGAACAAGAAGCTTCTCCCTCAAGAAGCTGTTCTTACATCCTCTTCGAAGTAATCCCCAGTCAACAACAATGTCCCAGTAAGTTGCATAAAACGTTGCAACACCTGAGAAAACCCAAGCTGTGATGTTCCAGGTGTTTCCTCTGTTAAGAGTATAAGCTGTTCTCAGACAAGAAGCAACGATGATCAAGAGATACTTGATGGCATTGTACACATGACCCAGATCTTTGTCTCCGAATGTTCTTCGAATGCACTGAAGAAATCTTGACCAGTAAGGTATAACGCCTACAATGAAGTAGAATGTTGTGAATACATCATTTGATCTGCAGGTGTTTCGTCTTCTGTGCCTGAAATCTCCAAATCCATAGTAGCATATATAGAACTCTAGACTCCTCACTGCTTGAACCTACACTGACTTTTTACATCTGAAATCATCAATCAAATAAATATGAAACTATTTTTTGAGTATTGACTTTCTCGAACCTGGCTTGTTAGTTGATCCGCCAAGAAAAAGTCCGCAAGATTCACCTGCAAAAATTCAGGACATTCTGTCTTAACATTTTTGTTTCTGTTTTTGTTTTGATGAGTGGAGCAGAGGACGTTGTTGGTACCTTATAGAGTGGTGCAGCGATGCAGCGGAACAGAACGGAGAGGAAGAAAAATCGGCTTGACCGATACAAAATGTTAAAGGGTAAGAGAACAATGACCATCACTAGCTGCAATGAGCAGAAAAACGAATCTCACCAACACACAAAGATTTAGTTGTTAAATTGTAGAGAGAGAGAGAGAACATGACGAACTTACGACAAGGAGAAAGAGGGGAATAAGTTCGGTAAATGTTCTGTAGTCTTTTGTTTGAGAATCCATTTCCATGTCAAGGTTTAGTAGCACAGCACACAAAGAAAGTGTACCAAGACCAAAGCTGAGAAGTAGAACATGTCTGTAACCGAGTTGCGTGCCTTGTTTGAATTCAAATATAAAGGAGTAATTCACACGGTATCGCCTCCAGAAGTAGATATTAGCAGCGTACATAATCATGTGCAATACCACAAACCCAAAAAACCTGCATATGAAATGTATTTGATAAGAATGTTGCAGAGAGAAATATTTTGATTGTATTTCGTAGGTTTAGGGACCTGTAAAGAGGAAACATTGTTTCCATGTAAGTTCTTTGTCCCGGTGTGCCTAAGATATTACGAGCATGGATGAGCAAAGCAAGAGCTACTATGAGAGAAATAGCACAACCGAAGAAGAAGCCTGAAAAAGTGGAGAAAACAGAACTAACTGATGAATTACTTCTAGAAATCCATAATCAAAGATTGGATATTGTAGAATGTTATACCGGTCGAAAATGTGATTCGATGACGTTCTTTATTCATTTTTGGTCTTAAGAGGTTCATCCCTTGGCTCCGGTTCGAATTGGCAAAATGTTCAATGAAGGTAGATTCAACACTTAGCATCAGATTGTTAACCTGCATATGTTTATAACTTCAAATTGACGTTTCTTTCGATTTTGTTTTCCGAGTTTTTAATAGAAAATCTGCTTACTTCGTCGGAGCTGGTGAGGTAGGAGGTATCCACCATTTCCATGTATGTTTTTCCAGCATTTCTTGCCGCAATCTAGAAAAGGAGAGTTATATCAATCGTTATATATACTAAAGCAATGTGAATACAAAAAATGTCAATAAAGCAAATGTCAGAGCATCTCTAATGGTTAAGACTTTAGAGAGTTTTTTATATATATTATAACTAGATTTTGACCTACGTCAAGCGTGAGATTAAATAATTAAATATGTTTTTAATCGAATTTAATATTTTGACGTGTATTCTAATATTTATAAACACATAAAAATGATATGTATTGTGCGTACATATAATAAAGCTAAATTTTGATCAAACATAAATATATCTTATCCTTGTTATTTTTTATTTCTCTCATCTCTTAAAAATAATCATGAATTTTTGTTTTTGAATATTTTAATACCCCTTTTGACTCTGATAAAAAAATCTAGTATTATTAAAAATAAAATAAGATATTTTCAAATATTTTTTATATTCCTTAACTAAAATTCTCTATATTAATTACCACATATTCGTTATTTCCATATATTTGTTATTAAGAACTTTTAATAATTTTTATTAGGAAATGAATTCATTAAAACCTTCTTAGGATGACGACACCTAGGATTTTTACCTAGTGTCTCCTCTATTAATATATAGAGGATAATAATAAGTGAAATATAATATAATTATTGATTTAAATTTTGAAGAATAACAAATAAAATTAAACCAATTGGATGCCAACATGTATCTAGTGAGTTTTTTCAAAAAATTTGAGATTTTCTTCATGAAGAACCCATCTCTCTTCTCAGTGTCGTGCCTAGCTCTCTCGGGGCCTAAAACGATTTTCGATAATATGAAATAATTTAAAGATAAAAGATATATTTTATAATTTTTTTTATTGATTATCTTCACTTTTGTTCATTTGAAAAGATTAAATGTACTAAAACACCATGCTATAAATCATTTGAATTTTTAAAAAGTATATGAAATCAATAAAAAGAAAAAGAGTTGGGACTTTAATTAATATGTATGAAAAACTTATTAAAAAAAAAGAAAAGTTTAACTCATGTAATTTTCTAAAAATTGTTAATAAAATATATTAGTCCAATAGCTTTTACCTATTAAAATATTTAAAATCTAAAAATTGGGGCCTTAAAAATTTAGTTATTAGAATGGGGCCTTAGACAGTTGTCTTATTTTTTTCAAGGTGAGCGCGGCTCTGCCTCTTCTCTCATATTTTTCTATTAATTTTCATTTTTTAATGGGTAGAAACTTATGGAAAAACTCATGAAAACTCCTATTGTGGATGCTTTCACACAGACATTATGCCATCCCATTATTCTAGTAATTTCTCTTAATTTAATTGAATTCAGCATTTTTTTCTTGATAAAGAAAAGAAAAATAACAATATTAGACCTACTTACTAATTTTGGTGCAAAAAAAACTAAATTAATACTATATAAAATTATAATATGTAAACAAAACACACAAATGTATCATTGTTTTGTAAAAACGATTACTACAAGATGAGATTTTTTTTATAGAAATATATAGTTTCAAAATTTGAAATTGTCAAAAAAATATGAAATTTCCACATGGTAGGGAGGTCCACTTAGTTAATGTATAAAGAAGAAAGAATTTAAGCGTACCAATTAAAATAAAGGGAATTTGGTAGATTTTGATTAGAAACTACCTTATCATACTTCTTCAAGATCTTGGAAACCGCTAAAGTGTTCAAGAAGCTGTAATTCTTAAGAAGTCGAAGTTTCTGATAAAACTCGATGAATGCTATCTGAAGTCGCTCCTCGACTTTCTTGAGATTATGTCTTGTGAATTCTAGCTCTTCTTGCTTAGGCTTCTTGATGATATTTTTGATGGTGGACAGAGGAGTTTCGCGCGTTTTGTTCATTCTGATACGCTCGAGAACACTCAATTGCGGATCTATTCTCTCATTCTTCGCTGTTTCATCGTTTCGCATCAGATCAGCTAATGTTTCTCCTGGTTAATCACAAATAAAGATTCAACCCTTAAATCAGATCAGATAATGCTACTCCTGTTTAATCAAAGACTAGGTCCAGAGATTATGGCCTAAATCCAAACCTCTTTGTTAAAAAAAAAAAAAAAGCCAAACACAAACTCAACTTTGTTCTTTAAACTTGGATGTATCTGAAGATGATCCAGTCTCGAAAGTAAAGGCATTGATGTCTACTGAGACTGCATCAGAGAGACAAGGGTTCTTCTTCTCCATAACTTTGCGTCTGAAAGCAATCAAAGCATCCATCTGTTTGGTCAGAGCCAGAGCTTCAGTCCTCGCTGTCTCTACTTTCAACTTGTAAAAGCTATTGACCTTGTTGAATTCTCGATCTAGGGTTTTAAAGAAGGCAATCTCAGAGTCTCCACCTGCTTCTCCCACCTTCAAAAACACCGTCTCGTACCTAGTCTCTAGCTCGTTGTCATTGGTCCAAGTCACTGTGTTGACCACAATATCCTGATTCTCAGAGACAGAGGAGGCCACGCGATTGTACCGCCTGGTTAGGTTGCTTGCGAAGGAAGGTCTGTTCTTGCTGCTGGGATTAGCAATATTTCGAGAAGCTTGGATGTCTCGGAGAAAGGTTTTGAGGTAAGCGTAATCAATGTAAGCTTCTTGCCATTCAGGGATCATCTGTGAGACAAACTCTTTCCCGAACCTCATTCTTCGTTTTCTTTTGTTTAAAGCTCTCTCTCTCTTTCTCTTCAGAACTCGAAGTTTACAGTCAAAATCTCAATTAAGAATCTTGCTCTCTGCACAAAACTGGAAAGAAGATTTTCAACCATTTGACTTTGGGGTTTTTAAACATTTCCAAGAAAAAAAAATACTCGTTTTGGTAACTCAACTTGTTGGATTTAAAGTTTTTCTTTTTAAGAGAGGTTGACCAGGTCTTAATTTCAAAACAGCCTGGAAAATAAAATTAATTTGTTTTCGTCCTCAATTAAACGATAGGGTTTATAAAGTTTCGTTATATATATATATTTTTTAAATATCATACAGTAATAAGGTCTAATTTTGTCGATTGATTAATAAAATTCCAAATATAGATAATTACTAAAACAACTTTGGAAAGTTGTCTAATTATTAAAACAACTTTTAAACAAACTTAATACTGAACAAAAGTCTTAAAAAGATATATAAACCTTAGTAAAAAATTTTAATTACGAAAATGTCATTCATAATTAAAAAAAAAGAAAACAAAAATCAGAAATTTGTTTGAAACCTCAGCTGCGGAGGCTGCAGAAACACCGGATACGCGCTCGGCGGAGTTGTGGAGGCTGCGAAAGCATCGGGACTTAGATAAAATCGGATTAAAAACCAGAAGCTAAAAAAAGCTCGAAATCTTTTGATTTTTGATTAGAAAATAGATATATGATGTTAGATCTACTAGTTTTAGACAAAATCTAGTTGCAAACGAGTTAAAATTTAGTAAAAACGAGCTAAAAAGTGGCAAAAGTGGCTGGCGGCCATTGTTAGGGTTTGAGAGAAGTTTGGTCTTGTGGAGAAGATGAAAGATAAATTACATTTTACCCTTTATTGAATAAATCTACCACTACTATAAATAAGTCTACCACATATTATAAATCTACCACTACTATAAATAAATCTATCACTATTATAAACAATTCTACCAACTGAAGGTTATTTTAGTAAATAAGTGAAAAGATTGAATAAATCTACCACTACAATAAATAAGTCTACCACATATTATAAATCTACCACTACTATAAATAAATCTACCACTATTATAAACAATTCTACCAACTGAAGGTTGTTTTAGTAAATAAGTGAAAAGATTGAATAAATGTACCACTACAATAAATAAGTCTACCACATATTATAGCTCTACCACTAGTATAAATAAGTCTACGATTGCGTGAACCATCAATAAGTCTACCGATCACAAATTAACTCTACCACAACTACTAATAAAGTCTATCACTCAAAAATAAATCTACCACTACTGTAAATAAGTATACGATTGCGCGAACCATCAATAAGTCTACCGATCACAAAATTAACTTTACCACCACTAGAAATAAGTCTATCAATCACAAAATTAACTCTACCACTACTACAAATAAGTCTACCACATTTTATAAATCTACCATCACTATAAATAAGTCTACCATTGCGCGAACCATCAATAAGTCTACCGATCACAAAATTAACTCTACCACTACTACTAATAAGTCAATCACTCAAAAATAAATCTACCACTACTATAAATAAATCTACGACTGCGCGAACCATCAATAAATCTACCGATCATAAAATTAACTCTATCACTACTGCTAATAAGTCTATCACTCCAAAATAAATCTACCACTACTATAAATAAGTCTACGATTGCGCGAACCATAAATAAATCTACCGATCACAAAATTAACTCTACAACTACTAGAAATAAGTTTACAGATCACAAAACTAACTCTGCACTACTAGAAATAAGTCTACCACACATTATAAATATACTACTACTATAAATAAGTCTACCATTGCGCGAACTATCAATAAGTCTACCAACTACTTAATAAATCTACCAATCGCAAATAAATCTACTAGCACATGAACGGTAGACTTATTCGCTTTTGGCGAAAAAATGTTGCTACCTCATTAATGACAGTTTCGTAAATACATTTTTTGTCTTCAAAGGAAATAAAGCTAAAATAGGTATAATAAATCTTTCAAAGTTGTTTGAGTAATATTCAAAGAAAAACATCATTTTGGTCAAAAATCAACTTTCTAAGGTTGTTTTTGTAAAACTCCTATAAAATAAAGCTTTGAACTTTTGAAAGATAACACTATTTACTATCGGAAAAATAATTCTTAACTACACGAAGTATTGGTTAATATGTTACAAATCATCCCAAGTATATAATATGTTTTAAACTACACATACTATTATATAACACATGGTGACATATACCGAATATATGTAAACATGTTAAAACTACAAATTAATGTCTTTTGATAAATATTTATTAATTTGGGGGTCAAATTATAATTATTTTCAAAAAAAAAAATCAAAAACGTTAAAACTTTCAAAATTTAACAAATTGAAAGAAAATCCATAAAATTTCAAAAATATAAGGAAAAATTAGTAATTAAAATTTTAAAATCCCAAAGTTTCTAAAATTACAAAATTCAAAAACAAAAATTAATTCAAAAAAAAATTACGAAAAGATA